CGCATCCCCGCCAACATCTGTCGTTTTCTGACTTGTTAATTTTAGCCATTCTGACTGGTGTGAGGTGGTATCTCATTGAGGTTTTGATTTGGATTTCCCCGATGCCGAGCGATGTTGAGCACTTTTTCAGAAAATACATTTCTTTCTGTCTGAGTCTGAATACAGAAGCATTATTACCAAATACTAAAGACGGTCATTTTGCTACAGTGGTAGGCTATATGTCCAGAGGTTAGGAGGGTGGTTAGTAGAAGTTGTTGAATCACTTGAGAGATAATAAATAGCCTGATTGCAAAATTCACTATCAAACCACATCTGGAGAATTGTGTCCCCTTTTGAGCACCATCATTTAAGGAGGATGTTGACAACACTAGAGTGTGTCCAAATAGTGGTGCCCAGGATAGTGATGGGGGCATCTACAAATTGAGAAACCTTGCTATATTAGGATGTATATTAACTCAGTTTATTAGCTCTATTTATCTGTATCATTTATCTTTTTATATATTATAAAATATATTTTTTTGTTCAGTGCCAAATTTTTCTTTATAGCTCTGATTTTTACATTGTTCCAATTTTTCTTGGACATAACTCTTGACTCCTTTCCAGGAAAGACGCAGAGGAAATCCTCCCCTAGCTTAAGTGTACATTATTATCTGACCCCTCCCCCCAAAAAAATCAATGGGCTGAACTTCCTTGTAGTAATTCTAGCCCTTGGCTTCATTTCATGAAACCTCCAGTTGCCAACCTCAAGCTGAGCATCACTTTTCACCTTGCGTTGTTTCCTATAAGTCCCCAAGGAGCCTTCGCTTGAGCAGTTATGGTTTGGTCTGTTGTCCTGGGATGTAGAAATAAGAGGGTTGGGCAAAACCCAGAGATGTGCTAAGTGGATTCCGAGCTGTGAAAGTTAGAGCAGGGAGCACATGTGCGCTTGAGGTTAGATGTGAACCGGAGCCCTTTCCCCCTGCCATCTGCATTGTTTTTATTCTTCCTGCAGAAGAGTTCATGATCTTTTGTAATTTTCTTTTTCTATCGATCCAGCAGTGCTAGTAACAGAAACTTAAAAAAAAAGGTTATGGCAGTACAGTCTATGGAATTTCACTGTCATACATCTTGCACCTTAGAGAACACATGCACTGTGGGCTAGAGATGAAATTTGCCTTGTAGAGAATTCATTTTAGGGTAGCAGTCCTCCTTCCCTTACCTCATGCTGCCCCAAGGCAAAGGTGAAAGTACGACTCTGCTTTGTCGGTCTTTGGGCTGTAATTTCTTCTAATACATTTCTATCTGGAGAGGCGAAGCCAATGGGAAAATAATGAACTTTTAAAAGAACTTGACTTTCTACAAAGATTTTTGAGGATATGTGTGTTGGCTCTAGGGCTGAGGGCAGCTAGAGTGTAACCATTGCTGGGAGACACTAGTTTGAAGCTGACTACTTCTACTTTGCAGTTATGTGACCCTGTGAAAGTGCTTAAACTGTGCTGAGCATCAATTCCATCCACCATAAAATGGGGATCACAATATCAAATTCAGAAAATTGTTGTAAAATGTAGATATCGTAATATTCTTGGAAATGCTTTGTAAACACCAAACCATATAGCTCGTGAGTAATTTTAAGATGGGATGGTCTATCATTTATTTCCATCTACCCAGCACTTCTATACCCCTAGCACTTAGCACAGAGCCTAGTATATAATACATGATTGGTAGCGGAAATTAAAATGAATGAATAGTTTCAAATCTCCAAATTTCTGATGATTTTAAAGAATTCATTGACTGATCCTTTGTATTGGGCTGGATGATCTCTTGGCCTCATGGCCTCATTCAACCTTTAGATGCAAGGATTGAGACTAGAGTAGCATGAGGGGTTAGGAAGAAATTGCCATAAAATAGATAACTTCTCCAGGAATTGCCTTATGTTCTAAACAAAATAGGACAAAACAAACAAATGAGCATATCACAGTTGATGGACATGAAGATTAACTTTTTTGAGTGGGCTTGGAAGCCCAGTAGAATTACACCAGCATCTGCTCACCATTGCTGGGCATGCCATAAGCCCAAGGGAAGAATCTAGCAAGCGTGTTCCACCATGTGAGGGATCTGGGGCAGATGGTGGTGGCACAAACTAGAGCTCGATATTGGACTAAGTGATCCCAAGGAGCTGGTGGAGTACAGTGTCTTTAGTAGTCTTAAAGTAGTAATAATTTGATTTTTCAAGGCTCATGAATTGGCATCATTTAGATTACATCTGTCATGGACCTTTGCACTTTGGAAGGAAACGAAAGTACTAAGTTCATTTTAAATGTCTCAGGATACTTGGTTATTTTTGTTTGTTGGTCAACTGTCTTATTTCTTGAAAAACCTATCATTATGGTTGTTTTCCTTTCCCTCATATAAATGTGGAACTCTGATTATTTGGGATAATTTGTGTCTGGAGTGTTGCAGTTTGGAGAAAATGAGATGATGACATTACTACTTTCTTTCTCAAACCAGTGACACTAACTGGGCCTTATGCCAGGGGGTAGGGGCAGCAGATGTAATCTTGAATTCATAGTCTCTGTAGAATAGATGAGGTTTCCAAGCCATGCGGAAGCCAAACTTTACCAAGGAAGCTTAGCAGTCATCCTTCCAGATGTTCAGCTTGCAAATACCAGAGGTGTTATTTGCAATATCAAATGTATAGATAAGTGCATGGATTGTTTTTTTTTCCCATTCAGATACCCATTTGGGGGATGCATTCCATTTTCAGGTCTGACAGTCTGTCAGAGAGCTCCCTTTAAAGTTATCTTGAGAAAATCTACCAAAAATGATTAAATTCGTGATAGTTTTTATTCTCGGCTAAGAACTTGCCTCTCCTCAGGGGCTGAACGGGCTTAAACTGTTATGTGAGTTTATATGGTGGTATATGGTTTGTTGCCAAATATTTATCTCTGTCTAAAAATGAAATGTCTTGAAATACATTTTCTTTTTAACTGAATAAATCAATGAGAGAGAGAGAAATAACTTCTCATTTATCCAATTTTTAATCAATATTCTCATGAGAGGCCGAAATATTAACCGAATCCTGGCTTTTGTCATTTGAAATACAATTTGTGTGTTTAAGAATTTATGTGCACATCAGGATTTGGACTTCATGTTCAGAAAGGAAAATTGATTTATCGGACCAAACAACCGTAGGAGTAGTCAGGCAATGCTGGAAATGAATATGAGTCAATTATTTAAGGCAAATGGGACTTTAATCACCACAGCAATAGAGAAATCTCAAATTCAGTTGCACCCTGGGTTTTCAAGCTTTAATCTCTGGGCATTTCTGTGTCTCTTATTTTGCAGAGGCCTTTGAAATTGTTGTTCGTCATGCCAAGAACTACACCAACGCCATGTTCAAGAACAACTATCCAAGCCTAACCCCACAAGCTTTTGAGTTTGTGGGTGAATTTTTCACCGACGTGTCTCTCTACATCCTGGGCTCTGACATCAACGTGGATGACATGGTCAATGAATTGTTTGACAGCCTGTTTCCGGTCATCTACACCCAGCTCATGAACCCCGGCCTGCCTGAGTCGGCCTTCGACATCAATGAGTGCCTCCGAGGGGCAAGGCGTGACCTGAAAGTATTTGGGAATTTCCCCAAGCTTATCATGACCCAGGTTTCCAAGTCACTGCAAGTCACTAGGATCTTCCTCCAGGCCCTGAATCTCGGAATTGAGGTGATCAACACAACTGATCACCTGAAGTTCAGTAAAGACTGTGGCCGAATGCTCACCAGAATGTGGTACTGCTCCTACTGCCAGGGACTGATGATGGTCAAGCCTTGTGGTGGCTACTGCAACGTGGTCATGCAAGGCTGTATGGCAGGTGTGGTGGAGATTGACAAGTACTGGAGAGAATACATTCTGTCCCTGGAAGAACTGGTGAATGGCATGTACAGGATCTATGACATGGAGAATGTCCTGCTTGGTCTCTTTTCGACGATTCACGACTCCATCCAATATGTCCAGAAGAACGGAGGAAAGCTGGCCACCACGGTGAGTACCAGTCTGCAGTTTTCTAAGGAATTGGGTCCTGTTGGGGTGGGGCAGTCTGGCCAGCATCAGGTGCTGAGAGAGAGAAGTGAGGGTAAGATCAGGGGGTAGGCAGGGATGGTAGAGAGACTGAATGATCTCATGGAGCTAGGCAGCACATTAAGACCACAGACTATGGATGGGGTGCCTGGGTGGCTCAGTCGGTTAAGGGTCTGACTCTTGATTTCGGCTCAAGTCATGATCTCCTGGGTCATGGGATCAAGTCCTGCATTGGGAATCTGATCTCAGCAGGGGGTCTGCTTGAGATTCTCCCCCTCTGCCCCTCGCCCTGCTTGTGCAAGCTCTCTCTCTCTGTCTCCTCCCCTCTCTTTAAGATAAATAAATAAATCTTCAAAAAAAAAAAAAAAAAGACCACAGGCTATGGAGTCATAATGCCTGGCTTGAATTTTAGCTCCACCTACTTACCTGCTGTGAGACCTTGGGTGAATCATCTTATCTTTATGAGCCTCATATTGCTGATTCATGAAATAAGGCTAAAAAGATTATTTTCTTCATAGGGAGTAACATGTGTTAAAGCATTAGGCATGTGTGTGGTCCATGGTAAGTCTTCAGTAAATATTAGCTATCATTCCCATTGTTGTTAGTCATTGTAAACCTCATGACAACACTGTGAGGTGGGTGTAATTATCTCCATTTCATAAATGAGGAAACTGAAGCTCAGTGAAACTCTAACTCACCCCAGGGCACCCAGCTTTAGTTAGCGGAAGAGCCATGATCCAGAAATGGATCAGGTTTCCCTTTAATTATGTTATCACCAGTTTTTCTGATTGTGATTTCACGCTCATGCTCTTAATCGCGTATATCACATTACCCTTTTGGGTAGTGCCTTTAAACACAGGAGGCCCAGCCAGAACCCACTAACTCAACCTACACAAGAACATAGGTGAGGCAAAGCATCCGCGTGCTCCGGCGGTTGTTTTGGCAGCCTTGGTTATACCAGTGTACCCCTGATGGGCTTTGTGATGGGGGCAGGACAGTTCTGTTAATGGGGCAGCAGTTGGCTTGGTTTCAGCCACACTGCACCTGCCGAGCTAGAGTGTGCACATTCAGAACCACAGGAGGCACCCACTTTCCAGCGCAGAGCAGAACCCACGGCCCAGAGCTACCAGCAGATCCCACGAAGGTGGTCGTGACTGATCCCTGAATGCCGCCAGCTTTGTAGACAGAGGTGGCAAAATCATATACTACACTACCCTTCTTGAACTCCAGCCACATTCCAGGTGCTCTGCTGGCCAGTTCACATATGATTTCACAGCAGTCCACAAGATAGGTCCTAATAATGTCCCCATTTTACACAGGGGGAAATGAAGCTTAAAGAGGTTCAATACCTTGTGCAAGGTCTCAAAGCTGTTAAATGGAGGTGGGGGATCTGGGATTCAGACCCAGGCTGGGCTGGCTTGGTTGACACAGACTCTTAGCGTTTACACAGTGCAATTGCTGTGTACTCGGAGCCATTGCTTACCCAGAATGTGGAGGGCAGATTGGGCCATTTAGTCTGGCTTTAAACTCGGGAAATACAAAGCGATGGGGGTAATTGGTTTCTTCGGTGAGTTAAACTAGGAAGGAGGATAGAAATGGTGCAAGCGGCAGCTGCACTAATTGCCCCATTCACAATGTTAGCCATTTAAAACACATTTACTGAGAAAATATTTTATAGTAAAATGAACAGAAATGTCCTATCTAACGATAGTGTTCTTCAGTGGCTAATTATTCCCTTGACTGCTTTATAATTTGAGGCCAGATTCTGGGGACTTCTACAAAAGTAAATCTCACGGAACTAGAAAAATGAGAAGTCGGTGTGTTTGTAAGTTGCCCCACCTGATAGTGTTTGAGGGCCCACTATGTGTCAGACACAAAGCAAGGGTGCCAGGGGTGTGGAGGTGTCTTTAATGAGAAGAAAAATGAGGAGACAATATTAAAGACAGGGTATGGGAATGTTTAAATGTTGCCTCTGATATTGGTCGCTTCACGGCAACATAATGAATCTTGAAAACGGGATCTCCTCTAGTGCTTCTAAACACAAAAAATAGGGTGGGGAACTGGTAAGGGGTTAAGGGCCCTGTTTTGATGGGGCTCTAGGTGTGAAGGCTTATTTAGTAAACATTCATTAAGCATCTGCTTTGTTCATGGCACTTTGCCAGGTGCTGGGTATTCATAGTTACCCAAGACATAGTTCTTGTGTCTTACAAAGGTCAGTCTAGTTGACAGACAGATGTGTAGCTGAATAAATTTCACTGTAGTGGACATTTCACCATAACGTGAACGTTGGAAGGGCCATGAGAGATTAGCCAGTCCAATCCCATTGATCTACAAATGAAGAAATACAGTTCAGGGAGGCTTGCCCAAAGTTATATAATTAATGGAAGAGCCCAAAGGACTAGAATCCAAGGTCTTCTGCGGCTTCAATCTGGCGCTTCTCTTACTACCATGCCGGTCTGTCTCCCATTAGACTCCAGACTTTCATTCTAAAAGCTCCATTAGGATTTTGCAACGACATCATGAACTTAAATTGGATAGCTATTTCAGGGTGCCAGACCTGCTGTATTTTAGGTGCATACATGCGTGTGTGTGCGTGTGCGTGCACGCATGTGCGCATGTGCCCACATGCACGCTCGTGCAAGAGGGCGTACATTTCATGTCATTATCATTCAGGAAGAAAGGCCTTGGCTGTCAAGAGGTGCTCAGTGATGCAGTCCCTTTCCGTTTTGGCCATTAAGGGCCTGATTGCTCCCAGCTCCCAGCTGGTTATGAGAGCGTGAAGTCTGCCTTCCCCAGGGAATGCCTGAACTAGAACAGAAAGCATATGTAAACTCTGCCTTGTTACTGTTTTATGACAGCCAACTCTAAGTAATATATCCCAAATGGTGGGGGTGGGGGAATCATTGGCCAGGTGTGATCCAGCCCATACTCTGTACGGGCCAGAAAGGGGCTGGGCCATTTACGGGGTGGGGGTGAGGGGAAGTGAGGGTTGGGGAGACTGCAGAAGTCTATTCATGTTAACAACCCCGCAGAATGCCCCAGAGCGAAAGCTGATTTAAAACTAAAGCATTAATGAGGTTCTGCTGTAGCACCCTCACCTTCCTGTTGTGATAAAACGTAAAATCCTGCCAGTCCGTCCTGTTTGAGGTTAAGTTGTGGTGAGAGACCTCTTTGAAAATATGCTCTTTCTGAGTTCTGATGAGACCACCTTTTTAGCCAGCTCTACGCCGTGCCGTAAGTCCTGCCATACTGGGACTTTGCTCCTTGCTTTGGTGGCTTCTATCTTCCCCAGATTATGAAGGATATTTTGGTCTTCTAAGTGAACCAGGCACTATTAAATTTTTGTAAGTACAGCCTGTTAGTACTTTCATGTTCCCTAAGAGAGTTTTCACTTCTTCCACCTACCCAGTGGAGGCATGCGAGTGAATGTCGGGGGTGTTCCTCACTGGCAGCTCTCCTGGAGGTGGTAAACATCTGGTTCCCAAACTTGGCTCATCATCGCTATCCCCTGTGGAACATGTTAAACAGACTCCTGAAGTCTACCCCTGGGGCTTCTGATACCACAGGTCTGTGGAGAAGCTGGAGAATTAGTCATAGAATTTGTCAGTTTAAAAGTGCCCTCAATTGATCCTGATACTCCTTTGGGAGCAAATCCAGCCACCTTGTTTTGAAGATAAGGTAAGGCCCAGAGATTGGGAGTGAATGACAGTTAATGGCAATGCTAGGATCTCTGATTTCTCATCTATAAAATGGGGTTGATATATGGAAATGAATTGAAATGATAGGTGCAAAGTACCTGGCAGAGTTCAAGGCACATGGCAGGTGCTCGCTTGTTTTCTACTACATTTTTCTAAGTGCCAAATGGGCAATGAGTTCTTCTTAAACTTATTTTTTTTTTTT